TTGAGCTAAGTCATGGCATTTGAGTTATTTTGGCCATGTACATAATTACCTTTAAACCAAAGGAAACCTGAAAGAAGGAGTTAACTAAGATAGAAAAACACCGGAGGGATAATAATAAACGATAAGAGAACAAGGATAGTTGAGGATGGAGACGATAAGTAGACAACAGGGATTACAAACGAGGAACTTGAAAAATTTAGGCTAAACTTTTCAAGACGTTAAGCCGTGACGTAGCTCCTTTGACACTTAATCGTGCGTCACATTTCATTCCGTTATGAAGACATTGCTTACAAATCTGATTTTCGATGATCAGAATAAAAGTTGCGCAACAAGGCTTCATTGTGAGTGAAAAAGCGTTGTTATGAATATTGCCACCCACGTTACAGTCTGTGACGACATGCTGCACGAAATGGACGTGAGTTCCGAACCTTGTGCAACATTTTGGTAACATGACTGGTAATGCACCCGCAGTGACGCTTTCAAGTAATATATTAAACACGAGAGACAGTGTTTCATCGGGATATCCAAACACCGAGAAGACAGTTGAAAATGTGACGCGCAGCGGGGTATTTTTGACGAATTTCGAGGTGTTTAAGATAGCCAATGAAACACTGTCTCGAGTGTTTGATATGTCTTCTAAATCGAAACAAATACCAAGGAGTAAACGAACGAGTAAAATTGTCAAAATCTATGCTAATTAAAAACGGGTATCCAATCTCCTTCACGATTGCAATTTTCTTTGTTTCAACTTGACGCATTTATGAGTTTGAGAACTTGCAATGCAACATTGTTGCGCAACTATTTGCAAAAAAAAAAAGTTCTTATATCTACTTTGCCTTAAACTTGCAAGATTTTTTTCCTTGTAAAACTCAGTGTGTAATTTTCGCATGGAGCCTGATGTTTCATGTTTTTTTAGGCCATGTGAGGGCTGAAACGTTCTTAAAATATTCTAAGTTATCATTTCTGGCATTTCACTGCATGAGTCCATGGCTATGTGACCAGCGCATACAACTTAATAAGATGTCCTACTATGATCCATGCAATAAGACGAGCTCGCTGTCTATGGTCATTTATCATTCATCATTCATCATTTATCATCGAGTACAACGCTAAAAGCATTTCGATATTAGACTTTATGGACTTAAGTCTTATATTTCTCCAGAACTCATACAGCTGTCTTTTTTTCTTCAAAAGTTGTCAAAAAATTTTCTTTAGTAATTCTCGGCACGATGTGTGTTTTTCATTTGAAGTTAAAACTTGGGTTGATCCCACCTTAACGTTCCAGGCTCTTTCAAGAAAGAGTGTGTTCTAAGTGCAGTAAAACTGATCCAGGACATTAGCTGCATAGGACGTTTTAATCATATTAAAAGTCATCATTGCATCTAAAACACATGCAAGCATTCCAGCAGGTTGTGAGCAGAAGTTTCTGGGCAAGACAGAAATGCGATCTGGGGACACAGAAAGATCTAAGTGGGCAAGAAGAGAAAGAAAGGTAGACAGGTGGGATATATATTACAAAGAGACCTGCAAAGCCACAAATCGGTAAATTAAAAGGCGACAGGTTCCATTTAACCTAAAGATTTATTACTTTAAACAGCTAAGTACGATCCATTTTCAGTGGAGTCCTTAGTTACCAAGTAAACAAACGGAAGTTTACAGTGTTAC